GAGGGATCGAAATTAATTTTTGTTCAGACAAAGGATGAGAATATAAATAAGTATTTTTATTTTTTTTAAAAATCACTTTTTAAGACTCTGGTAGCTTGTCCTTTACCTACTCGCGGATGATGTCAAAATTAAGATACTCGCTCTCTTCTACTGCCACGTAATGTGAAAGAATAATTGGATCAGCTTCTTTTATGGACCGGCAGTTTTCTAATTATTATATATATTTTATTATTATTATTATTATTTTTTGCTCCGAGAATTTGACTTTTGTACACTTTGATAGGGACCGCCATTTCCTGAATATTTAAGACAAGCCCTAATTAGGGGGAAATTTATCTTCATGAAGTTTAACTATTTTTATTTTTTCTAATTTCATTTAAGATTAAGTTTTTGTTTAATATTCATTCGTATGCTTTCAAATGTTCCATTATTATATTTTAAATTAATTTTTTAATAAAAAATCGTTGAATAATAATTTAAAAATATACACGATGTAAAATGTTTTAAAAATCAATAATAAATTAGCCATAGAGATGAAGTTTAAAATTTATTACTCATTTATTTACTAACATGTGTTGTGTTCTGATTTTGTCTTACTTGATATGGATTTTTGGGTGGGAAGGGCTGGAAGCATTTATTGTGGAGGTATTTGGGAATATTGAAAGGTGAGGGGGCTGGTGGTGAAAATTTATTTATTGTGGAGGTATTTGGGAATATTGAAAGGTGAGGGGGCTGGTGGTGAAAATTTATTTATTGTGGAGGTATTTGGGAATATTGAAAGGTGAGGGGGCTGGTGGTGAAAATTTATTTATTGGGGAGGTATTTGGGAATATTGAAAGGTGAGGGGGCTGGTGGTGAAAATTTTGGTGCAAACATTCCCCTCGTTGGAGGAATCTTTTTTGAAATTTCAAAAATTGAGCGCCGAACAGAAACACGCAGCTGCTCTGCGGTAGCCCCTAAGCCGTTTGTTCGCTCACAGGATTGAGTTTAATCTGCACGACGTGGTCACGGGATGTTCGCCACGTGTAGGGATCAGATCGTATTTCATGTCCATTTAGGAATTGATATGCATATTTATTATTATTAGCTTAGAAAGAATATTGATTTTAATCTTAATTTTTTAATATGCCTTGGTTATTAATTTTAGGACTCAAATTGAACAAATTGAAAGATTATGGGGAAAATGAGTAAAACATAGCAAGTTTATGAGCAAAATTTAATTTTTTTTTTTAACCTTTAATTTACTATCAAAATTGTATTTGTGCTATGAATCAATTTTTTAAAAAGATTATCATTTATGTCAAAATAATGAAAAAAACCATATATGCAATACAAAATGGATAAGATTTCAATAAAATAAATAAATAAAATCTAGTTATTTATTTATTATTATTTTATTTTTTTTGTTAAAATTTGTGAGTTTTACTGGGAAAACGCTTCCAGAAGCTGGAATTCTACATATATTCAGGTACTAAAACTCCGCAAAATAGCCCTGTAACTTCGGGATCTGCCTGTTATCTCAGGAACACCGAAACACAGACTGATATCGAATGAACCGACATAATACAACATTATTCAACCCACTACAAGTTCAGATATTCTATCTTTAATATATCTGAGATTTTGGCAATTATGAACTAAACAAAAATGATCTTAAAAGCTAACCTAGCACTCCAATGAGGGGCATTCCAGCAAAGAGGGTTTTCAGAAGAACAGATTTGCAATTTCAGAATCTAAAGGTATCACCTGGAAGGAGGAGGAGGTGGTGGAAGTTGGGATTTTGTCATTCCAACCCATGTTACAATTCCAACAGCAAGGATGATCCATCCACATATGTCATATTTGAGATCACTGCTCTTCTTCTTGGAACTCTGGTGTTTGTGAATTGTGACACAACAAAGAAAATAACAAATAATCCCAATTATCAGACCATATGTTTTACAAAAAGGAGAGAGAAAAAGATTCATGATAAGTAACCTTTGGGTTTGAAGCAGAAGCAGAAGCAGCAGCCGAAGCAGTAGATCCCCCGCCTGAAGGCCCCGTACTCTGTTGACCGATCCCATGCTTGTGGATCTCGGAATGAAACTCGGGTGCCTGAGACAGCTGAACAATCAGACGTCTAGAAGTGGCTATACTAACAATTTAAACATCTATGTAGAAACTCAGTTACTATTTCACTGAAAATATACAATAAAGAATGGCTATTCCTCAATCCTCGATGGGAGTAAATGGCTATTCCTCAATCCTCGATGGGAGTAAATACCGATGTCTCATACTGTAACAACCTAAGCCCACCGCTAGCAGGTATTGTCTACTATGGCCCATTAGGTATTGTTGTCAGTCTCACAGATTAGAAATAAATTTGTTAGGGAGAGAGCTCTACACCCTTATAAGCAATGCTTCGTTCCCTCTCCAACTAACGTGGAATCTCACAATCCACCCCCATTTGTAACAACTCAAGCCCACCGTTAGAAGGTACCATCCGCTGCGTATCGATGTCAGTCTCACGGTTTTGAAACGCGTGTGTTAGTGAGAGATTTCCACACTTTTATAAGCAATGATTCGTTCCCCTTTCCAGCCGATGTGGAATCTCACACATTCTCATTCCCGTCTCCATTCAATTTTCTTTTCAACAATGCTTGTTTCGTTACCCTTCCCAGCAATGCTTCGTTTCCCTTTCCAGCTATCAAGCCCACTGATGTTTTGGAATAACATATATAACTATATATTACATTTACAGACAATAACAATACTTAAAAAGTGAACTTCCTAAACAAACTGATTAAATTTCTTTTCAACATGAAATGACATGCAAATGTAGGTGAGAGAAGGGAGATGATTCTACCACATAACCACAACCTACCTCATTTTAGGAAGACATCCTCAATTCAATCTTTACTCTATTATGCAAGTGGCAACAAACCCCAAAGCCGAAAGCAAGGGAAACTAATATTAAGTATCAGTAAACGTGATCCAACGGAATGGACTCAATAGTTACTAATATACCAGACTGTCCTAGAACCCCGACAACCGCACCTATCAAGTATAGAGAAACCGAAAGGTGATGCATCGTACGTCTATCTTTGAAATAATTCACCTCCAAGCTATTTATACCAGAGCATTTCAGAACAAACTGGGAATCAAATAACAGTGTCATGTTATATCATCACCTTTGCAGTGACTTCCAGCGACTTGCGATATAGTTCATTGCTAGGATCCTGATGAAAAAAAACACCCAACTATTTAGACTCAATTCAAGTTGAATGATTTCAAAAGTCAGACTAGTTGAATTAAATCCACACATATCACCTCATCTACTGCCTTCTGGAAACACTCGTGTGCTTTATCAAAATAGACTTTCGCCTCATCCGCGTCGGGAGTCAGAAACGCATTCGAAGTGTGAGCATTTCCAAGACACCAAAGAGCATCATGCTTCGTGGGATTAATAGCCAATGCCTCCTCCAGCTTCACAACAGCGTCTGCACGATCAGATCAGTTTGTTTTCGCTCGCCTATGTTAGTTCATCATGAACTATAACAGCCAAATTAGATTCTTCAGCATTTATAGGGGCAATGGCAATGACATTACCTTTGATCATATCTTTAGAATCAGAAACATTCTGAAATTGAGATAGCTCAAGCAGCGCTCCTCCCCACTTTGTCAAATTCTGAAAGAAAAAAAATGCATGAACAGAACGATATGAAGCATTGTACTGTTTTCAACAGCTTAAATTGGACGATTATATCAACATCCTAGTGAAATCCACCCCCTGCCCCGGAAAAGGAATTCAGCTCATAAACTAAGTAGGAAAGCAATAAATAGACTAAGAATCAAAAGAACTCGTAAACACCTATTGGTGAGATGGATGTCAAATTCGGGGGTAAGCAAAATCAGATTAAAATAGAATAAGAAACATCAAAACAAGTTAATAGGAAGTAAGAGCGAAATACATCAGCATCAAGCGGGTTGTTGGCGTAGTTAGCTTCGGCGGTTTTTCGAGTGTGTTCGGAGAGAAGAAGGCTGTCAAAATCCTCCTGAGAAAACTCCATGGCTGAGGAATCGATAAACAAAGGAGAAAGAAGTATTCAGGCAAGGACCTAGGAAGTCAGATTGGAGCTCAAGCGTCCCCAATGTTCTCTCTGACTCACTTGGGTATGACAACCGGCGCGACCGCGCAACCAGTAGGGTTCCATGCGACAGAGCTTTTCTTTGGGCCGAAATTCGTCTAAAGAGGCCCATACTTTATTTGGGCCTGAAATTTTGTCTAATTTAAAATTCTAAATGAACTAGCCCATAGGTATTTATGACGGCCCAACTTTGCTCATTTTCTTCCACCTCTACCCTCCACATGGTGCTAACATGCAAATTTGAAATTCCATTATAAACACAAAATTTAAAATTATATTTGATACATCTTTTTAAATTTTAGATAAATATTTGAAATATATATTTTTCAATACATTTATTAAATTTTTAGTCCGAAAAATAAATTGATTTAAACTTCTGATCTCTTGGTTTGAAATACATTATTAATGACAATTTAGCGGTATATAAATAAATAATAATAATAACTATGGTTAATACATGCTTTAAATATATATAATTTTTTTTGTTGGTTTAAAAAAAATATAATTTTAAAAAGGCTTTAAGTTAGAATTATTTTTTTATTATGATTAACAAGTAGGCCATCAAATAATCTCGTCCCTTATAATTTGAGCAATTTGAGCTTTAAATTAAATAATAAGAAAAGGAACTCCAAAAAACCAATTAAAAAAAACAAATAATATTAAATTATTATAAAACCGGCCACATAATCATAATTAAAAGTATAAAAAAAAAAAAAAAAAAAAAAAAAAAAAAAAAAAAAAAAAAAAGATTCATTTCCGTTTGATTCGGTCACCGGCGAACGTGGAGCCACGTGGACAACCATAGATGGTGGGTCCACGGAGGTCTGATTGTAGCCGATTCTCGAACGCATCACGTTTCCGAGAAAGAAAAGGAAGCGATACATTTTTTTAAACCCCATTAGAAGCGCTTCGGAAGAACAAACCAATCCAGAGGAGAGGAAGAGACCCACAGATAGAGATAGGCGGCGGAATAGACGGGGATTCGGCGGAGCCGCGAGGAGAGATTCCCTTTCCCTTGCGGTTAACCAGAACGGTTTCGATTATATATATGTTTATTTCACTAACCTTTCGCCAAGAAACTGCGATTTAGACTGCCCTTCTCCCGTCGTCACTTAGTCAAACCACGAGTACGTTCTTTCTTCAACTTGTTCTGTATTAGGTTTTCTCTTTTCGATGTATTTCCTTGTTTTGATACGTTGTTCGTGGTGGATTTTTGGTATTCTGTAGTTTCGATTTGTAAATCTCTATGCTAACTGGCCGATTTGCTTCATCGAACTCTTGATCCGGCGTGGAAGCGGATTCTTGTTTTGATTTGATCTGTATTAGGTCGCGGCAGTTTTTTTTTTTTTCACTGAATCTCTTGTAATCGAATATTTCTTTACGATTACGGTGATCGAATCCTGATGAGGGATTGGTATCTTTTTGATAGATTGATGGGGGAATTATTATATCTGAACGGGCTTTGAATATATTTGGTCTGCAGGCTCAGCTTCATTGTTCCTGTGGATGTATCTTGTCGTCATTCAAGAAGAAGATTGGCTTGTGAATTGGCCCGATTCCTTTCTGGGTATTCTCAGGCCGCCTTGTCTGTCTGTTGAGAGAAAGGCCTTCTCACATTGTGTTTCGAGAGATAGATGGGATAAAGAATTCTTCAAGCTTCAGAGCGGATAATATCAATTTGTTGGTGTGCGATCGCTTTTTGAAGTTGTTTTGGTTTCGAGCAGTTGTAAGGTTTTCGCTTATCCAAAATGAATCCGTCTCAAGGCTCTACCTTGTCCGCAAACGTTGCGGGGTTTGTTGACGGCTCCTCTGCAAAAAGAGAAGTCTCATACATTGACAATCTACCTGTTTATGTTAAAGAGCTGATAGCTGGTGGTGCTGCCGGTGCCTTTGCTAAGACTGCTGTTGCACCCTTGGAACGAACGAAGATACTCTTGCAGGTGAGTTTCCTGATGGTTCCTTGAGACTTTAATCTATCTGAATGCATGACTATGCTGCAATTACTAGACTCTTGGACCTAAGTGTTGCGTAGTAATAATTGGGATGGATATGGAGAATTAGGAACCACTCCTTGAACTATGCTCATGGACCACTTTTTCTAATCCCACGAGGGCTTTGCCCACCTCACGCCCAATTCAGGCGAAAAGGATTTGAAGTTATGGTCTTCCCCAAGAGCTCACATAGGAAGGTTTGTTACCTTGATGTCAGCTCTTTGCCATCGGATGCTGTTCCAAGGGTTTGGCTGTTTGCCCAAGCTTAAGATTTGGGGGTTATTTCAATATATACTACGCTCTTACCACCAGGCCCTCCTTGGTTAATGATGAATTTGTTGGGGCTTTTTTAGCTAAATGAGATGCAGTTGAGCTTATTATAGCTGTAGGTTATGTCACTAATATGAAGATAATTTGGAATTTGATCAGCAAACAGTGCGAATACAATTGTTCTATTAGCCACTAAATTTCTATTCTAACCTCTGTGTTGTGAACATTGACAGACGAGAACTGAGGGATTTCGGTCTCTTGGAGTATTTCAATCTATGAAGAGGGTGGTGAAGCATGAAGGTGTTCGTGGTTTCTATAAGTAAGTTCAGAACTTTGTGTAGTGTTTTGTTTTCGTGTCTTAACTTATTTCCTCTGAAAATAAGTCAACGACATTTTATGCTTCAGGGGAAATGGAGCAAGCGTTGCTCGGATTATTCCTTATGCAGCTCTTCATTTCATGACGTATGAGCAGTATCGTTGTTGGATCTTGAATAACTATCCAAGCTTAGGAACTGGGCCTCATATTGATCTTCTAGCTGGTTCAGTAGCTGGAGGAACAGCTGTTTTATGCACATATCCCTTGGACCTGGCACGAACAAAACTGGCTTACCAGGTATATGTTATTTTCAATTTTTCTTTTTCTTATCCCATTTTCTACTAATATGAACACTTTCTTGTTCAACGGTTTTATTCTGTCAAGCTCTGTGAAGTTAAACTGTTGTTTGTGTTCTTCGTCGCTTTTAGTCATCTAACTGTTGGTTTTTTGGGACGTAGATTACTGACACAAGAACGAGGAGCGGTTTGGGAAGTTATCATACTCGCCCTGTGTACAATGGCATCAAGGACGTTCTAACAAGTGTTTATAAAGCTGGTGGAGTACGTGCACTCTATCGCGGTGTAGGTGTGTGTTACATCAATTAATTAAGTCAACTTGTATACTCTATATGGGAAGCTGATGAATAAAGTTATAATATATCAACAGGTCCAACACTTACAGGAATCCTTCCGTATGCTGGTTTGAAATTCTACATTTATGAAAAACTGAAAAGTCACGTTCCTGAGGAGCATCAGAGATCCATTGTGATGCGACTTTCTTGTGGGGCTCTGGCTGGATTATTGGGGCAGACATTCACATATCCGCTGGACGTCGTTAGAAGACAAATGCAGGTATTGTTCTCTATCATTTTCAAACTTGTTTGTTACGGGTTTTGATATCCATGATTCTGAAACCAAATTTCTTCGGAAAATATCATCAAAGGTTGGAGATATGCCATCTTCACTTCATGGTCAAGTCAGATTTAGGAACTCAATCGAAGGTCTTACGATGATAGTTCGTAACCAAGGATGGCGGCAGTTGTTTGCAGGACTGAGCATTAACTACATTAAGGTAATGGTTGCGATTACTTTCATCTAGAGATGCTTTTTCCATCCCCATTTCTCTGCTCTTAACTGTGCATATAATTCTCCCGAATTGGCAGATTGTTCCTTCTGTGGCCATTGGATTTACAGCATATGATAGCATGAAATTATGGCTCCGAATCCCACCTCGTCAGAAGACGCAGTCAATATCTTCTGCCGCATAAACCCATTCCTCTCTATGCCGACACTGTCCTTAGATTCTAGACTGCCTTTTAATTTAATTGGTCTTTTGCTAATTGGGAAGTGTGAATCTTACTTAAAGATGTAGCTGTCATTCATCTGTATCTGCTTGAATCTATGGCTAGACATGCTTTTCCTTCACTCCCTACTTTTTGGGAACTGACAATGAAACAACTTTTATGATTAGACTATATTTGCTGTTGCTATCAATATTTTAAATTTGTTCAGTTTAATATTTTTTGTAAATTGTTTTTGTTTTTTAAATTTGACTAAACCAAATTGGAAAAGTAAAGATGGCAGCCAATTAAAAATATATAACCTTCGATTGGTGATTTGTTTGCGACTGATCTTGTTTTCGCTTCCATTACAACACAACGACACCCATCAGAGGTTCTTCAGGCTTCTGCCTCTGAATCCCCTAACAAAACCTCTCGGGGGAAGAAATTTTGTTCTTAATTGTAAAGAACTCTGCGAATGTCTGAATCTTCGCGGTTTCCTTTTCTGCAAATGCCTGCAAATAAAACCACGGAGGAAAAAAAATGACCACAAACCAATTTAACACAACAACCAAAAATATTGAAGTAGATAATATTGAAAGCCCAATGAGTTTCAAAGGATATGATAATCTGTGGCTCCTCTGCATCCTCCTCCACCCACTCCTTTTCTACACCAGAGCCAGCTGAACACATTGATTTCACTCCCTATATTCTTATGCCTATGGCTTCGGCCGGAGAAACTCCATTTGATCGACGAGTTCCTGCAAATTCTCAGGCCAATCAGGGGGCTCGGCGATCAGATCCTCCACTTCCACATCGATGTCCGATTGATTGCTAACTATTATGGGTTCTTCCTCTGGATATCCAGCCCAAGGATCTTCAGCCCAGAGTTGACTGAAGAACCCCAGTTCCTCGGGAGCTGAGTGACCCACATCCATGGCTGCCATGAGAATGCCATCAGAAACAGGGTCTGTGATCTCGCCGTTTGACTCGCCTTCAAAGTTGACTGCTAACAGCGTCTCCATATCTGGCTCTTCTTGTTTAACAGCCACTGGTACACTCTCTTCCTGGAGATTCTCTACACTTGAGCTGGAAGTCAGTCTTCGCTTTCGTCCAATTTCAACGCCTCTCAATTCTCTTCCCTGATTACTATGGATAAATTTCTGAACGAATGATGGATTCTTAAGGGCTTTGCTGAGGAATGTCATGATCTGCTTCTGTTTATTCTCAGACTTCTCTAGCCTATCCTCCATGGCTATTATTTGCTCTCTCGAGCTCTGGTGTTGCTGACGCAATCTTACCAATTCCGCCATTAACGAGCTTCTGTCCCTTTTCAACCTCTCGAGTTCACCTTCCAGTCCAAATTCACCCAATTCTACACATATTCCTCCTTGGTGGTGCTGGAAGCTTTGAGGTGAATGTCTCCTCCTCTTTATCGTTCTCAGCAGATGTCGCTGTCCTCCCAGAAACCCCTCATTCGCGAACTCCCAACGATCAGGATCGACTTTTCGAAAACCCTATATTGAAGAATTTCAATCCCAACGAGATTAGGTCATCAAGATTTAAAAGGAATTTCGGCAAATAGAAGATGAAAATCGAGAGGTCAAAACAAAATCGAACACTAACAGAATCGAAAATGAAAATCGAACACTAACAGAATCGAAAATCAAAATCGAATACTAAAAGAATCGATTATCAAAATTGAACACTAACAGAATCGAAAATCGAAAATTGTTTTTAGAGAGAACTTACATAAGTATTGAGCTGACGAACGAAACTAGAGAAATTGGAGTGTTTGAAGTATCGAGGAAGCAAGGAACTGGAGAATTTGTGATAATCCCAAACGATGAAACTATTACGAGCTTTACTCCACGAAACAATGGAGTCCGTCAATGGATCTTCCACCATTTCAAAGGTCTTAGTGAGAAATGGAGGCGGACCTACATCGTGTATCCCTTCGATCGGCTGGGGAGTGACGCTCGAACCCGACGAAGAAGAAGAAGAACACACCGCCGTGCCGACGGCCACTGATTCCTCCGGTTTCACTTTCATTTCATCCATCGCTTTGATCAGAAGTAACTAATCTGAGATTAGAAGGTTAATGACTATGATTATTGGAAGAAGGATCGAGTTCTTAGAGTTTTATTGGATGATAAAATGGAGGGAAGAAACTGAATTTTAATGGCGTCGTAATGGAAGGTTCTAGGACTCCGTAAATCTCTGTCAAATGTTTATTAGAAGCTTCTTTCCACTTGTCCAATCACAAAATATCAGTGGAAACTTCCCGTTTCTTCCAGGCTTTCTCAAATATATGGAGGGAAACTATTTTAAAATACATTTTTTTTTTTATAAAATATTAAAATATTAATTTTAAATTTCTTATCTGCCTTTATCGACCCAAACACATGGGCTTCCGTTTGTTGGGCTGGGCTCTAAAAGCCCATATAATTGGATTTTCTTCTGATGAATAATTCAAAATAAAAAAGCCCATAATTGGATATCTTTTCATAAAATAATAATAAATCTCTAAATTTTTAGTTTTATATTTAATAAGTTCTTAATATAATGAAAATTTATGACCTGCTAAATATTTTTCAAAATTAAGAAATTAAATAGACATATAATTTTAACATTATTTAAAAATATATAATTAAAAAGCAAGATTTAGTAAAATAAAATTAAAAAAAAAAAAACAACTTGCTGATTAATGTGAGTCATCGATGATATAAAAAACAAAAGTGTGAAAGTTGTAAAAATATGAAAAGTAATTTAATAACTATTCTTTTTATTTTATTTTAATTTAATTGCAACAGAAAAATAAATTAAAAATTAAAAATCCCACTCACCACATTTAAATAACTTGCATTAACCCTTTTTCAAATTGAAGAGTCCCCTCTTCGATTTCTTTTCGCCAAGTCGCATCGAAATGGAACGTCTCGCCCTCAAAACGACATGTCGCCTTCCAACTTGTACATTATTTTCCCCAAACTTATTTATTTATTTATTATTTTACTTTACCGCTTGAAACCTACCTAATTCTTCATCAAATGATATTATATTAGCTCTTAAAAAAAAAAACAAAATTGGACTTTTTTTTTTTTTTTTTCAATTGTTAGATTATTTTATTATTATAATAAAAAATTAATAAAATTTAATATCAAATATTTACTAAGTGGGTAAGCATATTAAAAAATGTACGTGGGTAAGTTTAGTCACAAATTTGTTATTTTCCTCTTGAAAAAATTATTTCAGAAAATTCAAAAAGCTTAGGAGAGCAAGTGCACCACGCATTTACTAAAATAAAATAAAATAAATAAAGGAACCAGGTTGCGTAAGAGCTGACGTCGGTGACTGAGGTTTTAACAACTTTGAGATACAAATAAAGGAACCAACTTTGAGATACAAATTTATGTAAAACAATAATTTATAGTGAAAAAAAGAGTTTGAAGGATTTAAACAAACTTAAAAGTTATTTTAATATAAATACTAAAATTATTGTGATAATTAAATCTAAAATAAAATGTACAATGGAATGTACGAAAATACTCAAATCACATCATCATTTTAATTATTGATGCCGTAACAAAAATAATATTCAAAAAATTCAATCTAGTCATCAATTATTAATGGCGTGGCAGACAGACCCCGTACGCGGCGGCATCGGCCACGTACCCCATTTTCTGAGATAGACTCCACTACTGCCACTGACTGATGAGGTGGAATCATCTTACTGGTCCACGTCATCTCCCTCCTCGTTAGTTTCAGTAACCCGCGCGGGAAGGGGGAAAGCAAAAGTAAACGCCAGAGTTTGGCGACGTGTCGTTTCAGTAATATGACGATGACATGGAAAATGTCGGGTTTATTATTGTGGGTTTTCACAAACCCCGTTAATTCGGCCCTCGGGGTCGACCTCCACCCACCACAATTGTTACGCCACGTCATCTCACTTACTTTACAATTTTGATTGATTGTTTTGTTTTGTTTTGTGTATTATTAGGTTTTCATAGCAGAGGTAAATTCAGTTTCCCTAAACCACTTTCCACGTGGAGCCCAGTGTTGTCTATATATTGCCACCATCATCTTGCCGACCTGTCCACGTCAATAAAAGCTTGTACCACCTAAGCCCTATTTCTTTTTTTTTTTTCCTGCTCGTGGCACCTAATCAATTTGAATATATTTGAATTTATTGAGACACATATTCGATCGAGACCATAGGTTTAAATCTTTTTACTCTATTTGTTGTCGAGCTCGAAAAATAATCGAACACTTAAATGATCAATTAATAATCTCTGTTGACGTTGACGATTGGTAGTATAACCAAAATGAGTATTTTTATATCAAATAGCTCAAAAGTTTCAACCCGTAGAATATAATCAATGAACAAACATCCAACGACAACCAACCAACACATGAAGACGTGAAAACTAATAATAGTGCAATGTACAAACTAGAATATTCGTGTTATGATGTCGAGCCGACTTAATCAGCTATAACAAGCTAAACACTTAACCCACAACCTTTGTAATGTCATGAATTTCCCCAGAACAAAATTTTTTGTAATATTATGAGCCGTGGGTCCATAGTCAATGGTGGCCTTTCAAGACAAGGCCATTACGGGAGTGACCCCAAACACATGGGGTTTAGCCTACCGAGCCTACTAAATTGGATATGTCTCTCCTCCTTCAACTTGGTGTCGAGTTCCACGTACAATTGTACAACGAGACACGTGAGACTACACTAGCTCAATTCATCGCTGAGTAAATAAATTATCTTTGGACTACTAAATAATTTTTTTTTAATACTTCATTTTTACGAGAATCAAATCAAATAATTATTTATGGAAATTAATTATCTTGCCAGATGAAGTTCTTCTATGGTAAGGTCATGTGATGACTAATTAATAAATAAATTAATATTTGAATTTATATTTTAATCGAGAGTTATCATTAGTGAATAAAATAAAAAGTTAATTTAATTTAATTATTTATTTATTAAAAAAACTCGTTTATACCATTAGAGTATCCTATCAAATGCTATGTTTTTATATGGTTGGTCTCATTGGACGGTTCAATTGATGAAAAATATGTCCGAATAAAAAAATAAAAGAAGTTTGCATAAAGTTATTTATTTATTTGTTTAAGCCAATTTTTATCCATATATTATATTAAATATTAAACTCGAATGAATAAGAAAATTAATGAATGGAACTTGTAATTTAATATATTATTATTCGTAAAATATTCACGCTTATAATAAGTTTAGAATAACTTTTCAGAATAATTAAACGAAAAAAATAAAAAGAAAATACTAATAAATGACGTAAGCCACCCACTCACTGCTAAAATAAAAAGAGTTATAACGACCGAACAAGTCCCTTGCCTCTTCGCAAATTTAACAATTCCCCTTCCGCTATATCTCTCTCCGCCGTCTCTCCCAATTCTCCGGCGATGAACCTCTGCGCAAACGACGTTGTATCCTCCGAACTTCCTCCTTCTCCGACCTCCTCCTCCTCCTTATCCATCGACGTCGATGAGTCGTCTGAAGCTCGGATCCGGCGGTTGATTACAGAGCATCCGGTGATCATATTCAGCCGCTCCTCTTGCAGCATGTGCCACGTCATGAAGACTCTTCTCGCCATCATCGGCGTCCATCCTACAGTTATCGAGCTTAATGATCACGACGAAATCGCCGCCGTTCCTTCTTCGTCTTTTGTTCGGGATAGTTCGGCGCCGGCGGTTTTCATCGGCGGGGCTAGCTTCGGCGGCTTGGAGACTCTGGTCGCTCTCCATCTTAGTGGCCATCTCGTTCCTAAACTTATCGAAGTTGGAGCTCTCGCGGTATGAACCCTTAGATTTGGAATTTCGTTTTAAATTCTCTTAATAAAATATTTAAAATGTTTTTTTGTTCTAAATTTATGTTAGTTTTTCAAATTCTAAGAAAAGTATAATTTATTTGATTATATTATTATTATTATTATTAAAAACCATAATGTTTACGTTAATTTTTGTTCTTAAAAAGAAATATATAATTTTTATGAAATTTCTGAAAGTAAAATGAAATTAAAATTTGTGTTTGAAATGACACTTAAACGCTGCAGGTGGGACACGTGCAGTGTTAAAAGTGGAGAATCAGAAATGATAGTCATGCAGATGCGCTACACATGATTTCTGCCTCTGTTCAATTGGTGGAGTACTTTTGTAATTATTGGCAAATTCTCTGGGCGCCACCGTATAACCCGTGGGAATCGTCGTAGCCTAAATATTCTCTTAGTTTTGGTTTTATCGTCGTAGCCCCAAGAAGAAAAAAAAAAAAAAAAAAAGTTAGTTTTGGTTTTATTATTACTTTTATCTCTTTTTTGTTTGTAATATGATAATATCTTAATAATTATTAAATATAAAAAATTAAAAAATATATAATCTCGACTCCTTTGATAATTTTTTCTACACGATATGATCAAAATTGATGCAAAAGAAAAGTAAGCCAATCTCAGGCTTCATTTACAATTATTGAAAAAAAAAATATACCAAAGAAAAGGGATGAATCGGGAGCGTTGAAAGGTAAAGGGGAGAAGAATAAAGGGGGGTTTATATAATGGTGTGCCTCGTCTACAACTCCGAAAAGCATTCAACATATTCGGTTTCACAGAAACCCCTATTTTGATGAACAGATATAAAGAAAGCAATATATAAAGAGAGAGTCCCCACATCTGTATTATCATAATATATATGTCAGTAAGGCATTGTTTAAAGGAGCTTTCAGAAGGTTGCAGAAGAATCAGGACGCCAACTAACTTCCTTTCCATATCAGAATCTCTTCTTTTTTACTACTGTTTTTCTCTAGCTCACCTCATCTAACAAACAAAAATCAATCAATCTTTATGTAATTGCCTCGGCAGAGAGAGAGAGAGAGAGAGAGAGAGAGCCCTGTACTTCTATCTATTACAACCCTCGGCAGAGAATGAACGGTTAAGGAACACGCTCACACCAACGATATCGTGCTCGTTTCTAACCCCTACAAGATGTGTCATCAAATGTCAGATAGTGTTGTTCCTTCTATCTATTACAACCCGCCCCATTTCATGAACTTCTTCACCTCGTCGTACAAAACAAGGATCGCAGCTGCACCTGTACTTCTGAACATGTTCGAAACGGCGCCTCGATAGAAAGAGCTAACCCCCTCCTTTCGGTAAATCGTCTTCCAGCAGTCTAGGGTGCTGTTGTACATCCCCTTATCCAGCCCAGATTGCATCATCATTCGCCTTCTAACCGTGTCGAATGGATACGACAACAATCCAGCAGAGGTTGTGACCACTTGAGCCACTCCCCAACGCTTCCATAGAGCCAACTCTGATTTAGACTGTTCTACCAAAATCTCTTTCATGGTGTCAAAGCCTCCAAAATAAAGGCCTCTGTGCACCACCATTCCTTGTAGAGAGGCTGGAAGGCCCCTGTAAATCCCTCCAATCCCATCCTTCTTGTGTATGGTAGCAAGGAAATGGCAGATGCCTCGAAACTGTCGGACGTCGGTTCTTCCGATATCAGCAGCAAGGCGAGTGTGCGAAATATCTAAAGGGTATATTAAAATCAATGTTGAACAACCAGCAGCTGCCCCAGCAATAAAATTGGCTGATGGACCAGAAAGAAAGTGACCATCTACAAAGCTATTCCTTAACATGTCTTTATATAGATCCTGTATATGAAAAACAACATTCAGAAACCATAAACTCACTTCATGAATTCACCAAACCATCAGTCACTACAAAGACTAATCGATATTTCAGACGCCCGGAAGTTCTAAATCGAAAATGAGCATGCAGAAGGCCTACCAGAAAAGCACATAACATAACATTTCCAGAAATGGAACACGAGAAAACCTCGAGCACAATCTTTATATATTCGTCGGTTTTACCACATTTCCAGCTTCGGGATATCAAAAGAGGTAACAACTGAAATGTGTATATTCTCTCCTCCATGTCTATCTCATTTTCACTCTTCAACCACTAGATTATGTCATAGGACAAGTGTAAGATCCCACATCAATTGGGGAGGAGAACTAAACATTGTTTAAAAGGGTGTGGAAACCTCTCCCTAATGAGGAGAAGCCCAAAGGAAAAAGCTCAAAGAGGACAATATCCGCTAGCGTTACTAATTTCACTAACATTTGCCTTCTGTCCTCACAGCATTACTAATTTGTAGCTTCTAGCTTGAATTGATTCATTAGTTCACTCCTAAGCTATCACATTTGTTGTTACCCCTATTAGTTCATCCCATTCTCACAAGGCTTTTTGCATACAAAATTCTATCAAAAAACATTATCCAGGAAACCAATTAATTTGCCTTCAGATTCACCAGACATTCAGAAAGAAGGTGTTACTCTAAATTTGGAAGCTAATAGCAGAAAGAAACTCCGTCAATGAAGAGAAATTGGTGATATACCTTAAGAGAAAAATTGAGGGCAACAGAAGGGTAATAGCGAATAACACTGCTTCCATTGCCTCTCCATAGAGAGAGAACGCCTTCTTCTCGAACGGTGCGAAAAATACAATCGAACATACCCTTAAACCTCCTTCGCCCAACCCCAACAATCGCCAGATTGCTCTCTTGGGTCTGTAACAGAAGCTTCGCCCTCTCAATTGGGGCAACGATTGTGTGTACCAGTCCGCCCATGAAAGCCCCCGCCAACAAATCCCGATGGAAATTCACCATCCATTTGTACGCTCGCGGTGAAATCGGAACTGATCTTGAATCCCTCATTTCAAGATCATCGGCATCCTCCACACGCATTCCTCGAAACCCCTCTCCCTCTCTCTGTCTCTCTCTGTTTCTCTGTCTCTACTATACGCTAAACCAAGGATGAACGATTACCCAATTTATGGGTTCTTCCTGGAAGTTGATACCAAACAAACACCAAGGCAGAGAACTCAGTTCGTTGGTTAATCTATCCTTTACTCTCTAACCTTGAAACTTGAAAAAGGATTTTTCCCTCGTTTTGGTTTTGTTGCAGGCCCCTTCTCGGTTTGGGCAACAACATAGAAGCAAGAAGAAGAAGAAGAAATGGTTACACGATTCCTGCCAAAGGTTGAACTTGATGGGATGGTCACGAAAACCGACGGCCCTGATTGGTTCTGATCAGGTGGAAGCATGGAAATGCACGCAAAACGGACCGATTTTGATCCTTCTTATCGCTACGTAATTCCCTTTTTGGTGTTTCTCCCCATTTCAAATTAAATTGAAAATTCTATCTCGGATTTATCCAAATTCTTTTATTTCATATTTCATTAAAACTCATTCCCACGTGGCATTATTGTTTTATTAAGGGCATTCTCGACATTTCACATCAAAGTTTAAAATGTATTTCATATAGTTTAGCTTATTTAGTAAAAAATAAATATAAGAATGTAAACTTTTCTAAGTTGAAAATCTCTCTATTTATTAGATTAACCTTTTTTTTTTTTTTTTTTTTTTTTAGACCTCCATCACTATTTTACCTACCTTGGGATAGTTAAATTCGTAAAAGTCTTCAAAAATGCATAGCAATACTCATTTGAAGACTTGATTTGATTCTTAATCAAATAAGTAGTAATTAGAGTGAACCGATGTATTTTTGTATTTTTGTTTACATATATTTAGAATGAACTTATCTATTTTTGTTCACATACGAAAAACCGCAAAGACATTTCACCCCTGGGTAATTTCTTTATTTTGTAAATTTAGTAGGAAAATCGAAGACACCGAGCTTCAGAAACTCATACGATTTGAGCATTTGACATCTTCCAAACCTTCAAACTGGAAATCACTACAGATTGAGTTCCATTGTTGAATGCGTATAAACGAGCATCATCATCGACAGCCAAAGTCGGATATACCCGAGAAGTGATGCAGGTTTTTCCTTTTGCTCCAAAGCTCTCAACTATAGACCGGTCTACCTGCAAATTCAACGACAAAAGATGAACAATGACGAGCAACACAAGCGAACAACACGAGCTAATCGGATGTACCAGTGTTCTCAATGATATCTTTTCGTGGCGTGGATCTATGTCTACGAACGCTCCATAAGTGGTTTTATCTACCCCTTCTCTAAAAGAGGACCTATCAGTTGAAAAAACAGCCAATTCAGTTGAGTTTGTAAGCCAAAAAATGCCTTCAAAATGGTTGTAAATAGACAGCCAAAGGCATGGATTTGACCTGCTCTGATCACTGCACATCAGTACTACATATCTGTTATGAGCTTTAAGAACATGAAAAAATATTGCAGTGTGTTCAGACAAGTCATTGGAAGCTAAAACCAACAAGCCAAATGGCCCAACTCTGCCATTCACTGATGCATCTCTTTTACTACAAAGCAATTGAGGATCAAGATCAAACCATCTTGTGTCCACTCTCTCAGCCTCCTCTAAGTATGGAAACTCAAACGAAACTTCGGTGTCGACCTTGAACCATTTGATCATACAGTTAAGTCGTGAAAAATCTCGATAACAAACATTAGTTTAATCAATTGATCACACCATGCAAAATTATAACAGCTCAAGCACACCACTAGCAAATTTTGTCATGTTTAGGCTTTCTCTTTAAGGGCTTCCTCTTGAAATTTTAAAACACGTTTATTAGGGAGAGGCTTCCACACCTTTATAAGAAATGCTTCTCCAACAAATTTGGAATCTCACAATCCACCCCCCTTGGGACTCACGTCGTTGCTTGCACACCGTCCGATGTCTGAATCTGATGTTATTTGTAATAGTTCACACCCACTGCTAGCAGATATTGAGTTGTTACAAATGATGTCAGAACTAGACATCAGGCAGTGTGTCAACGAGGATGCGGAGTCTCACAATCCACCCCCTTGGGGGCTCGAATCCTCACTTGCACACTGCCACGTGTCTAGCTTTGATACAGTTTGTAATAGCCCAAGCCCCACAATGGCAGATACTGGGTTCTTACAAATGGTATCAAGTATCAGAACCAAACATAAGACGGTGTGTCATCGAGGACGCTGGCCTCCAAAGGGGTGGATTGTTAGATCACACATCGATTGAAGAGGAGAACAAAACATTTTTTTATAAGAGTGTGGAAGCTGCGTTTTAAAACCTTGAAAGAAAAGCTTAAATAGAACCATATCTATTAACAGTGGGGTTGAGCTCCAACCGTTTCTGAATACTGACCTGAGAAGCTGAGCCACCAAGAACTTTCATGGTTGATCTCCCTCTAAGTTCTTTATTATACAAGCTAAAATGGTTTGTGCGTAACTTCTCAACTTCCTTAACTGGCCACTGAATCAGCTGCCTTCCAGTCTTAGAGAGCCATATCTTTCGAGGAATCACCTGCATTTCCAAGTTTAATAACCAAGATTCATCCAGTTCATTCCATAAGCTAACATATGAAAAATGGGTCATGATTTACCTGAAGACCAGCCCATCCCTTCTTGATATTATCTTCTCTGCTATCAGACTCATTAACCCAACCCCACAATATCCTCCTCTTCTGGGAGCTATCATAAAACGTCTTGGAAGCATAGAACTTCCCATAATCATATCTCAATCCTAAGTTTGTTCCTCTAAGATCAAAACCATCACCAGAATCAGAGGTGAACTTCTCTTTCTCAGGAACATAGCTTCCCAATGTATAATAATCATGAGAGTTAAGGCTAGCTTTCATCACATACTTAACAACACCAACACGGGATCCATTCAAAAAATCAACACCATTCGATCCATTAAGCTTCACAGGGTAAAAATCAGGGCATTCCCAATTTCCAGAATCTCGAGAGGAATAAAGAGGAAACCTGGATTGATACCAATGAACGAAGTCCTCACTTCCGTAAAGCATCGCCGCGCCTCCATAGCTCGTCTGGCCTCCAATGGCGATCCGCCATCCGCCATCTGGGCCTGGCCATGCCGTTGTTGGGTCTCTAAATCGGTGTCTTTCAACGCCATTGGGAGGTACTATGATCGGATTATGTGAAGATTTTGTCCAAATTTCAAGAAAAGGGTCTGAGAAATTGCTGGGGATTGCTAGATTCTGAACCTGCTGGAAACTGGAATCGAGTCCAGTGTAGAGAATTACGGGTTTGTTGTTATGGAGAAAGGAAACGGAACCGGACCAGCAACCATTGATATCGAATGGATGAGTGGGCTCGAGGGCATGATTCAGATGAGCCCAATTGATTAGATCGCGCGATACTGCATGACCCCACACAATTTTGCTGTCGAAAACCGCTCCATTAGGGTTGTGCTGATAGAACAAGTGGTAAATTCCTTTGTAGTACATTGGCCCTTTCATCAACAAATACGAAATGCCTATTTTTTAGCAAATATTTTGCACAATTTTTGTAATTATTTCACATAATATAATACATGCAACATATTCTTACCATTAGGATCTGCACGATGATATAATAGAACACATCGATCGTTCATCGACAAAAAAACACGATGATATAATAGAACACATCGATCGTTCATCAAAAAAAAAAAAAAAAAAAACAAAAATCAAAGTTAGAAGATGAAATAAAGTAGAGGGAAAATAGTGAAAGAAATGGAAGAAAATATGTATTACCATTCATCCAATTTTTGAGGGGATGGAAATGATAAGATGTTCTTTGAAATTGTTGTGGAATATGAACTTCATTGATATCTCCATGAGAGACCACAAACCCAAATCTATTGCTTATAAGCCAAAGGAAGTATAATGCAACAACCCCACACTTGACCATTTCCAACCCTTTTGTTACCATTTTGTAGAAGCGCTACCCATGCATATAATCTTAACGTTCATTGTATATATATATAGTTTTCAATGCATATAAGTTAGGTTTATTTTTCCAACATGAACATACTTCGATTGTTTTAAGATATTATAATTTTGTATAAAAGGATTAGATGTTCTATAACAATCATGCATATAACAAATATTCGTTTTCTCTCGTTATGTATCATCGTTAGCCTCACAAAATTAAAATACATCTATAAGGGAGAGGTTTCCACACTCTTATAAGGAATATTTCGTTTCCCTCTACGACTGATGTGAGACCTCACAATCCACATCCTTTAGGATCAACGTCTTTGTTGGCATACCCGGTTAGAGAGGGGAACAAAATATTCATTATAAGGATATAGAAATCTCTCTCTAGTACATGCATTTTAAAAACGTGAAGCTAACGTCAATGCATAATAGTCCTTATAATATTAGAGCCAGCATTAGGTGATATGTTGAATTTCTAAAAAAAAAAAAACTATATATTTTTTTTCTTTCTAAAATTATGATAAAAATCTTTATTCAGCTAAAAAGAAGGTTTAAGATCACTTTTGTAATAGTTTTTTCTTTTTACTTAGATTTCCAAAATAGACTATACCACAAAACCATCAAATATAATTAATATATTGAATTTCCAATTGTTTTTATCTAAAACATATCCGTTAATAAATGTCTGAATATCAATTAAGTCATACCTAAGAGAATTAGGTTATTACTTGGACTAACCTAAATTTATTAATCACCAAAATCGATGCTTTAAATTTGACCTACTCATTCAAGGACTAAAAAGTAAATTTCTGATATTTTAAATTATTAAGCATGAATTAAAAAAATAAAAAAACATTTTTTAGTTTTTTAAATTTAATTAAAATTTGATCACAAAAGGGAGAAAACAACTTAATTGTTATTTAATTTGTATCTATGTATGAATTAATTATTGTATTAATTCCAATAATCTCTCACTCATTTTAAGTAATTATTAATAATTTTAATGGTGGACAGGATTATATTTTTTAGACACGAAAAAAAATCTCTAAATTATAAATTAATAATTCTAGAGCTAAAACTATTAAATTACAAATTTAGTTTTTAAAATTTTAAACTTTTGTTTATTTAATATCTAAAATTTTAAAATTTGACTTTTCGAAATAGAAATATTGGATGGAAAGTTATCTGAATTAGTATAACCTATATACTAGTTTAGTATTATTTATTATTTATGTTAATTACCAATTAAACTATGCAATAATTATAATTAATCACTGCATCTTCTAATTTCAAAAAGTCGGCAAAAACCACCGAATCTAAATTGAGTTATTATTATTATTATTTATTATTATCTTTTTTTTTTTAATCAAATATGGAAAATATTCAATCGCTAATAAGTTGGGCTCCCAAAAAAAAAAACCCACCACTAAGGTGATCGGTTACGAACTTCCTCCCCCGTCTTTCTTTTTTCCCCGACTTTTCAAGGATCTGTGTTGCGGATGAATATTCACAGGGATTTCAGCGGAATCGTCGCCGGAGTTGACGCGGACTACAAAAACCTCAATCTTCCGACGATGCAGGCTTGCGCTGCGTGCAAATTTCAGAGACGAAAATGCACTGCGGATTGTCCTCTGGCTCCGTATTTTCCTGCAGATCGGTTTCGGGAGTTTCGAAATGTCCGCAAATTGTTCGGCGTAAAGAACGTGTTGAAAACCCTAGGCGATTTGGAGCCTTCGAAGAGACGTGATGCAGTGCAGTGTATAATTTTCGAGGCCAATTGTCGCGCCAATGATCTCGCCGGAGGTTGCTACAAAATTATTGCTAAAATGCAGCGTGAAATTACTCTTCTGGAGGCTCAGCACCGTCTCGTCCTCCGTCAGCTTCGATTTTTCCGGCAGACGGCTGCGTGTGCGATTCGTTCGGAATTTGATTTTGATTTTGATTTTGAAGATCGGATACGAAAAGAATCCTGCAGTTTGAATGAGCGGTTGACGACTATGGAGAATGGCGTTTCTTGTTCCAAAGGGGTAACCCATTAGGGCTCTTTTACTTTTTTAGATTATTTGAATGTCTTGTAGAATAAACAATATTACAAATATTTTGACATCCTAAAATTGGGGAAATTACCCTTTAAATTGATAGATATTTAATTTTTATTTTATGCTAATTTTTTCGTGTTTTGTAAATATATATATAGTCTTATATTAGCTATGAACATTATTTAATAACCTATGACTCTTTCTTTATAAGGAAAATATTATTTTAAAACTTAAATTTCTTTTTTCTATTCCAGATAACACATTATATTGAGGTTTATTAAGAGAAGTATTCCGATGTAACGTTATGAGAGCTTACACTCAAAGTGAGGACTGTGCCTACCAATGTGAAATATTATACCATTATGTAAACACTCAAAGTGAGAACTGTGCCTACCAATGTGAAATATTATACCATTATGTAAACTCTACGGTGTACTTTGCAGATAATATCGATGGATTTGGGTATGAGGACTCTGCCTCCTAAAGGGGGTGGATCTTGATATTTCACATCTGTTGGAGAGAGAAACAAAAAAAACAAAACATTTTTTTTATAAGTATACAATGTTTTAAAACTGTGAGGCTATGTAATAGGTCGAATGACAATATTCCATCGTGGTTTCTAAACAAAATAGTTTTTTTTTAAGAAATAAAATCATTATTTTATTCCTTTTTACTAAAATTGAAATTCTATTACCAAAATCCATAGCAATAATCCAATATGGGTAACAAATTCAAACATTTGAAAATAAAATAAAATAAAATAAAATAAAAATATATAAGACGGGAAAGAAAATGAAATTAAAAATAAAGAAAGAAAGAGAAGGGGCAAAATAGGAAGAATGGTTGGAAATGGTGAAAGAGGGCATAAAGAGTGTCGACACTATCGGCCTCATTCTGAAGCAAAAAGTCGTCGCTGTTAGTTTGTTCCGCTGCGTGTGCCCTCCATTTCCTTCCATTATGTCGACACTCTTCTCTCATGCCTCCTCTTCCTTCCTTCCCACTTCTCCACTTCCTCTTCCTTCTCTCTCTTTCTTTTTCTTCCCCTTTTTCTCTCTTTTTCGTCGCCGACCGCCCGCTGTCGCTGCTTTATTTTGAAAGCCAAACGAACCCTTCTCCTCGCCGAACGCCGCATCAATCACTCCTCTTCGCCTGATTCCATTTCAGCCACTTTTCCCATTCCGAAGATTCCAGATTTGGGTTCTTCACAGTCACTGGCTCTTCTTAATTCCTTGCTCAAACTTTCTTCTTCTCTCATGTTCTTCCTCGAGGTTAGTTCCAATCCACTGCTTTTCTGTTTGATTTCTCTCTTCTTTCCCCGAATTTGTTTTTAGATGATGAATTCTCTGTTCTTTTCTTTTTCAGGATTTGTGGCAGATTCTCTGTGTTCAAGGTTTCCAGGATAAAGCTCGAGTTCTCTCCGGTAATTTCCTTTTCCCGAATTAATCTGTTTTCCTTGTGTCTTGGCTGATTTGAATCGGATTGGATTCATTGTGGAATTTTGTGGTTTCCTAATTTGATGTACTGATTGCTGACAGAATGTATTGTGTTCTTAATTCTTGTAATTGATTAGTTTATTGGTTCATTCGTGATTTCTAAGGTTTAGTAATATTAGATTTCTAATCTGGGGAGTTCTCGTTTTTTGATTTCCTGATCAAAACAGAGTCTCTTCTCCGGACCGTATCCGAATCCATGGGCAATTCGGATTGTGGCGTCTCGGAGTTAGAACTCTGTAGAGACGATTCGGCTGCGTTCCATTTCAAATTAATCGCCATCGCCTCCATTCTCACATCGGGAGTCATCGGAATCGCCATTCCATTGTTTGGCAGCCAGCGCCGGTTTCTCAAAACAGACGGAAATCTGTTCGTCGCGGCGAAGGCGTTTGCCGCCGGTGTAATTCTTGCCACCGCTTTTGTGCACATGCTTCCGGACGGATCGAATGCCCTCTCCGATCCGTGCTTGCCGAAATTCCCATGGTCGAAATTTCCTTTCTCGGGATTCTTCGCGATGATGGCGTCGCTGTTGACGCTCCTCGTCGATTTCGTCGGGACTCAGTACTACGAGCGAAAACAGGGGGTGATTCGATCGAAAGAGGAGGAGAACCGGGTCGGGTCGGTGGTAGATTCCGGGTTGGAATCGGGCATTCTTCCCGCCGGAGATTTGAACGTGAAATTGTTCGGGGAAGAAGACGGCGGCGCGATGCACATCGTTGGAATGCATGCCCACGCCGGCCACCATCGTCCCAGTCATCCGCAGGGGAAGGAGGCATGTGATGGGCACGTGAGAGTCCACGATCATGGTCATGCCCATGGAGGACATGGTCATTCTCATGGGCTTGACGGCGACGATGACGAAAGCGGTGTACGACATGTCGTTATTTCCCAGGTAATTTTTTTTTCTCTTCGAGTTTTCGCCTCCACGTGTCAATGTCGCTTGACTTACTGACCAACTTCTCTTCTCCCTCCTTTTTCCTCTTGCCTTGTGAGGAACATAAATTCTTAACCCAAAGTCAACGCATCGTAATTTGTTTCAAATAGTTCATGTTTCTTTAATTATAAATTTAGTTCTTTAATTATACTTATAAAATGGATAGTTTGATATTTATTAGACACATTTTGTACTTTTAAATTGAAATATTTAAAGTTTTAAGAGTAAAATAAAAAAGGTATTTTTGGGCAGATTTTGGAGCTCGGGATAGTGTCACATTCAGTGATAATTGGACTGTCTCTGGGAGTGTCCCACAGCCCATGCACCATTAGACCCTTAATTGCAGCCCTGTCCTTCCATCAGTTCTTTGAAGGCTTTGCCCTGGGCGGCTGCATCTCTCAGGCTCAGTTCAACACCCTCTCCACCTCCCTCATGGCTGTCTTCTTCGCCATCACCACGCCCATCGGCATTGCCATAGGTGCCGCAGTCGCTTCCACCTACAACCCGAACAGCACTGGGGCGTTGATTGCAGAAGGGATTTTGGACTCTCTATCCGCGGGAATTCTGGTGTACATGGCTTTGGTTGATTTGATCGCGGCTGACTTTCTTAGCAAGAGAATGAGCTGCAATTTTAGACTCCAAATTGTTTCTTATTGTACTCTATTTCTCGGGGCGGGGCTGATGTCTTCGCTCGCTCTCTGGGCTTGACTTCAAATTCTATTTCTTTTCCTGTTCTTTGAAGTTGTCTTACAAGGAAGCATAGCGAATTTATGGCTTCCAGAAGGGTTTGAAAGTACCCAAAGCTTTAGATAGATTCTGTGCACTTAAAAGTATCTCCTCTGTAATTGTTCAATGCCAACTCAAAAAGGGGTCTATTGGATTCACCATCCAACTCCGACGTGGTTTGTTGATATATATTCTCTCTGATAATGCACTCTCTCGTGTATATAGTGTCTAAAACAAGAATATTCCATCACATTTCGGCTAAAACAAGATACGGCTTAGAAACCTTATAATATAATCACTAATGATTGAATTGACTTAGTGTAAAATCAACATAAAGCGATTTTGGATAGATTGTTAAAATTTGAAGATCCATTGAAACACAATCCCTTCTGCAATTCATTTGGTTCCATTCAATCGTGAGCAATACCTTGTTTGGGAGTTGGTTGGCTGTGATTCCCCACTGTCGCAAGAAAATGGGCTGTCTTTTTCAAACCTAAGTGCGCCGTCATACTCCACTTACCAGCTCCACCATATCTCATCCTCTCATTTTCTCTGTTTTTCTTTTCTTCACTTCCAATTTATTGAATTTTTTCTTTTATTGCCAACAAAAGGATTCAATTTTGTATTAATATCAATACCCATTTTTTCTCTGTTTCTGGAAATCAGTGAACTTTCGCTCATGGAGTAATTGACAGACGCAGCCATTATTTAAGCTTTTGACGAACAGAACATAACCCATAAGCTATGGAACGAGCGCGGCGGTTGGCGAACAAGGCGGTGCTGAGGCGCCTTGTTTCATCGTCGAAGCACCACCGTCAAATCGACCCTCCATTGTTCAATTCCCCTGTTTTCTCTACTCCTTCGAGGTATGTCTCTTCGCTGTCTTCTAATTCGTTCTTGTGTCGACGCGCAAGAACGGATTCATTTCTTCATCGGAATGATATCGGAATTGGGTCTCAAACCCGTTCGATATCCGTCGAGGCATTGAAGCCAAGCGACACTTTTCCTCGCCGCCATAACTCTGCAACCCCCGAAGAACAGAGCAAAATGGCAGAGTTATGTGGGTTTGAAAGCCTTGATTCGCTCGTCGACGCCACTGTCCCCAAATCGATTAGGCTCCAATCCATGAAATTCTCCAAGTTTGATGAAGGGTTAACTGAGAATCAAATGATTGAGCATATGCAAAACTTGGCCTCTAAGAACAAGATTTTCAAATCGTATATAGGGATGGGGTATTATAATACTTTTGTTCCTCCTGTTATTTTGAGGAACATAATGGAGAATCCTGCTTGGTATACTCAGTACACGCCATATCAAGCTGAGATTTCACAGGGCCGTCTTGAATCTTTGCTTAACTATCAAACAGTAATTACAGATCTCACTGGCCTCCCCATGTCCAATGCCTCGTTGCTTGATGAAGGGACGGCAGCTGCTGAGGCTATGGCAATGTGTAATAATATCCTCAAGGGGAAGAGGAAAACGTTCATTATCTTGAACAATTGTCACCCGCAAACGATCGATATTTGTGTTACTCGAGCGGCCGGGTTCGATCTTAAAGTAGTGACTGCAGATCTTAAGGATATTGATTATAAATCTGGTGATGTTTGTGGTGTTCTTGTTCAGTATCCTGGCACTGAAGGGGAGGTTTTGGACTATGGGGAGTTCATTAAGAATGCTCATGCTAATGGGGTTAAGGTTGTGATGGCGACCGATCTTTTGGCGTTGATGATGTTGAAGCCACCGGGTGAATTAGGGGCCGATATCGTCGTTGGATCTGCGCAGAGGTTCGGTGTTCCAATGGGGTATGGAGGTCCTCATGCTGCCTTTTTGGCCACCTCTCAAGAGTATAAGAGAATGATGCCAGGAAGAATCATCGGTGTTAGCGTCGATTCTTCGGGTAAACCTGCGCTGCGTATGGCGATGCAAACTAGAGAGCAGCATATCAGGAGGGACAAGGCTACTAGCAACATTTGTACTGCTCAGGTATTGAGATTATAATTCATATGATGATTGGGTTGGTTTTGCTTTGAACATGTGTGGTTTGTTTAGGCGTTGCTGGCGAACATGGCTGCAATGTACGCCGTGTATCACGGACCGAAGGGCCTCAAGGCTATTGCAGAGAGAGTTCATGGCCTCGCCGGTGCTTTTTCGGTCGGACTGAAGAAACTAGGTGCTGCAGAAGTTCAAGGTCTTCCTTTCTTTGACACTGTAAAGGTTAAGGTTGCTGATGCAAATGCAATTGCAGATGCTGCTTACAAAAGTGGTATTAATATACGAATCGTCGACAAAAACACGGTAACCAAACTTCTGTATTTCGCATCAATTGTTCAACAAAACAGTTCATGTCGTTTGATTAATTGGTGATGGATTGCCTTTCAGATCACTGTTGCTTTCGATGAAACGACGACCTTAGAGGACGTTGATAACCTTTTTTCAGTTTTCTTTGATGGAAAACCAGTAAGTATTTGAATTGTATCTAAACATGTAATGGTTATAGTCTTGGTTAAACTGTTCTTATTTTCATGCATGGGAATGTCTTCTTGTTGTATAGGTTCCGTTTACCGCTGCATCTCTTGCTCCAGAGGTCGAGAATGCAATTCCTTCAGGGCTAGTGAGGGAAAGCTCGTACCTTACCCACCCGATCTTTAACATGTACGCATTGTTTGCAGTTCTTGTAGTATGAAGTCCTATGCTAAGACTATAGGAAGTTTAATTCCATGACTAATATGTTCTGCTATGCATCAGGTACCATACAGAGCATGAATTGTTGAGGTACATCCAGAGGTTGCAGTCGAAGGACCTTTCGCTGTGCCACAGTATGATTCCATTGGGATCTTGCACAATGAAGCTAAACGCAACGACGGAGATGATGCCCGTAACATGGCCCGGTTTCACCAACCTTCACCCTTTTGCTCCTATTGACCAGTCTCAGGGATATCAGGTAAGTTTTTGTTCTTATACGAAAATGATTAGCCGAAGGGACAAAAGAAATATCGTGTTCATGTCAGATTCCATTGTGCAGGAGATGTTCAGTGATTTGGGAGACCTGTTATGTGCAATAACTGGGTTTGATTCTTTCTCGTTGCAACCAAATGCTGGTGCGGCTGGAGAGTATGCTGGCCTTATGGTTATCTATGCTTACCACATGGTACGTTTTTTTTCTTCTCATTTTAGTTCTTTAGTACCTTTATGTGAGATTCCACATTGGAGAGAGAAATGAAATATTCCTTATAAGAGTGTAGAAAACTTTCTGGACGTGTTTTAAAACTTTGAAGAGAAACCTATAAGGAAAAGTCTAAAGAGGACAATATCTACGGTCAGAGCGAGATAATGGCTGGTGTGCCAGCGAGGATATAGTATCTTGAATTCATTATCCCTCTAAGAACTTCCCTTTATTAGCATTTCTCAAAAAATCGAGAGGTTATTGGAAAATAATCGATTAACTCAAAACTTCGCAGGCAAGAGGAGACCACCACCGCGACGTGTGCATCATTCCGCTATCAGCACACGGGACCAACCCCGCAAGTGCAGCTATGTGTGGAATGAAGATCGTATCGGTTGGAACCGATTCAAAGGGAAACATCAACATTGCAGAGCTGAAGAAGGCTGCAGAAGCCAACAAGGACAATCTATCAGCACTCATGGTTAGATCCTAGAATTTGAGGAGCTAAAGCTTTGACCGTGATTTGAGTTTGTTTGGTTGAAATAATGATAGGTTACATATCCTTCCACACATGGAGTGTATGAAGAAGGCATTGATGAGATTTGTAAGATCATTCATGAGAATGGAGGCCAAGTCTATATGGATGGAGCCAACATGAATGCCCAGGTATCTATCATCTCGTCTTTCGATCCCTAGAACTCGAGGATGCCGTTAAACAACCTATAGACAGATCCTTTTCAAGCAATCAGAGACTTGTTCACTTTTATAGTATATGAACTCAACATTCACTGTAGATTTTGTGTGTTCTTCAGGTGGGTCTAACAAGCCCAGGTTGGATTGGAGCTGATGTTTGCCATCTCAATCTCCACAAAACATTTTGCATTCCACATGGAGGAGGTGGCCCTGGCATGGGCCCTATTGGTGTCAAGAAGCATTTAGCACCATTTTTGCCCTCTCATCCTGTGGTAAAAACATATCTCTGTTAAATTTGATTGCTTCATTACAATAGTTTGAATTTGGAATTTGCCAATTTGAACTCCGAAGATACCTACTGGAGGCATTCCTACTCCCGACAATGCACAGCCTCTCGGTACCATAGCTGCTGCACCATGGGGTTCTGCTCTTATTCTCCCAATATCTTACACTTACATAGCCATGATGGGGTCTGAGGGCCTTACCAACGCATCTAAGATCGCCATTCTGAACGCTAACTATATGGCCAAACGTTTAGAGGTTTCTGATTCTTATGCTTGTTGTTTCTTTCACATCTTCTTTCCACTTCTCATTCTCATAGATCTTAATATTTGCTTTGAAAACTGCAGAACCATTACCCCGTTCTCTTCCGTGGTGTCAATGGAACAGTTGCCCATGAATTCATCATCGACTTGAGAGGCTTCAAGGTAATTCTTACGTTAAATTTCTCTTGATGTTTACATCCAACTGTTAAACACTTAACTTGTCGTGCAATTGCGGCAGCAAACTGCTGGAATAGAGCCTGAAGACGTTGCTAAGCGTCTAATGGACTATGGTTTCCATGCACCCACCATGTCATGGCCTGTCCCAGGCACGCTCATGATCGAACCCACAGAAAGTGAAAGCAAGGTATCCCCCCTTTTCACGTATGTTTTTGCCCGATCCCGGATAACTTCCTTTTCACGTATACATTTTGCAGGCGGAGTTGGACAGATTCTGTGATGCCCTTATTTCGATCAGAGAAGAAATTACCCAGATTGAGAAAGGAAAAGCTGATATCAACAACAATGTCCTGAAGGTGAAGTCCTCTTCTCTAAAGCTTAATTACTTCAGCATTTTTCATCTGATAGACCTTAACAAGCTTAATTACTAATCCAGGGTGCACCTCATCCACCATCTCTGCTAATGGGAGATGCATGGACAAAGCCATACTCTAGGGAATATGCAGCTTTTCCAGCTTCCTGGCTCAGGGCTTCCAAGTTCTGGCCATCTACAGGTACACACGAGTGACTGGTTTCTAATTTCTCTACCTGATTTATGTTGGCATTATCCCTCTCTTACTAAATGGAATTTCGGGTTCAGGACGTGTTGACAATGTGTACGGTGATCGCAACCTGATTTGCACCCTACAACCAGCGAACCAGGTTGTCGAGGAAGCAGCAGCAGCCACTGCTTAGTTTCCTACACTGCACCTTCCTGCAAGACTCTCAATGATATATAATATCCTCACTGTTTCACCCCCCCAGTTGCACCGTACATATGTTACCAATATTCATATTTGTCATTTACACTTTCCTGATATGCGGCAATATAACATTTGTAGTAATTTTTGCCTCGTCTCCCTTTTCCCCTTCCTGTCTCCTTTTCTTTAATAGATCAGCTTAAAAAGCAAAACGTATTTGCATTAATTTCCAATTTTGAAACTGACGTTATCATTACAATGCAATTCTTTTAAACAGAAGCCATTCTCCACGAAAATCGTAGCACTCACAATTTTCTTTTCCCAAGCATCAGAGTATAAGCAAAATTTGGAATCCATAACGTGCTTCTGGCAAAGTGTTCCCAAGCAAAACTTGTGTACTTTGAGGGACTTATTCTCATTTTGAAAGTCTTGAGGTGGTGTCCATCTCAAGCTCCATACTTGGGGGCCTTCCAAAGCTTAAAAGCTACCTCATGTATAAATCTATCTGCAGGTATCACGAGATTGCTGCCTTGCTGAAAAAGAAAGAATCCACTGATAAATGCCTCAAACCATCCAATCAAGCACAGGCCAGGAAAACCAGATTTGAAGAGTAATCATAAGTTCATATTCATGAATAGAATACATGGAATTCAATTCTTGCATTATGTCAAGCTGAAAAATCCTCACATCATGCAAGCAACATAATAATGATGTAAGAATAATGCATCCACATGTAACTCCATTATAATCATTGTTAGAAGTTGAGCTCGTCAAGACTAAGAGACCATCCTATTGCTTAAGGCTGCACAAAGCCTCAGTAATTCAAAGGCCAACCAAGATGACATACATTTCCATGGATGAATGCATGAAACAATGAAAAGCATGGAAGCAATAGGAGAAAAATATTGAACTTCACCTCTTTAAACTCCTTGAAAGAAAATGTTTCCGCTTTATCTTTGCGGGTTACTCCATATTGCCACTGAGCAGCTAACATGGGTGAATGATGCCTTGTTCATTACAAAATATCGGATAATGCAAGGGATATCAGTCAATAAAATTTTGAAAACCCATCAATCCAAAGAAAAACCATTAATTTTGACTCACCGAACATCATTCCGTGGGACCTCCCCCATCATCGTGTAACTTTGATGAGGAAAGAGCGCTGACAAATCAGAACTTTTCACATCTTTGGAAGTCAAAACAGACAAGTTGCATTCATCATCCTTAAAGGCATTTCCATAGCTCATCACAAGGGACAAGTGCAAACGGGAACCAATTTCTGATCCAGGCTGAGCCTTTTGCAATATATCACCAACCAAAGCATCAATATATTTCATCTCATCGGAAGCTGTTTTGTCTTTCTCGCCATTAACTTTGTCGCCAACTCCCATATGTATAAACAATAAATCAAACTCGCTTGTATCCTGTATCTTTCCATCTTGTAAACCAAGCATTTTCAGCAATTCAGAGGCCACAAAGTCAACTGGTGGAAACCCGAGATGGTTCATTTGCATCAACTCCTCGAGTCGCAACAGAGACACACCAAGTTCAGAGCCCAGATATTGCACACTTGAACTATTTGTCAGTATTGCAGCTTTCATTCCCATGAACCTAAAGTAACAACACAAAACCACCAGCCAAGTTGTTCATAAACCAACCACAGTGATTCATCCTACTCATGACATCAACTGAACAGATACCATAAGGATAAACTACCTTTCAGGTATGGACTTTTTCTGACTACTTCCTTCGCAGCCATCTCCATTCTGAAAAACCAAATATTATCTTTCATTGTAAAATTAGACCTTGGTGCTCAAAGAGCAGAAATATCATACCTTATTGACGAATGAGTCACATGCATCGAATAGAAGCGCAAGCTCTCGAATCATCCTTTTTTCCTCACTCTCTGCAATCTAAAACATCAAATGAATCCCAATACGAGGAAGATATAAGGGAAGGCCAACAAAATCCTTTCAGTAGCCCATACAATAAGTTCAGTAATTAAATAAACTATTGCCTTCACTCAGGTTATATATGTTTGGATCAATAAATAGAAGTTCTGATCATATGGGAAGGAAAAAAAAACTCCTGTATCTAAGCAAAATGCCTAATAACAAGGTTGCTTAACAAAATTATCCTCCATCCCTCATTTTCCATACTTCATATTCACCGAGATGGCAGCCATAAGCCTGAGAAAACATGGACGACAGTGGACCTGTAACGGCCCAAGCCCGCTGCTAGCAGATATTGTCCTCTATGAATTTTTCCTTTCGGGCTTTCCCTCAAGATTTTTAAAAGTCGTCTGCTAGGAAGAGGATTCCATACCCTTATAAAGGATGTTTCATTCTCCTCCCCAACCGATGTGGGATCTCACATTCCACCCCTTTAGGGCCCAGTGTCCTCGCTGACACTCGTTCCTTTCTCCAATCGATGTGAGACCCCCACCAAATCCACCCCCTTTAGGGACAGCGTCCTTGCTAGCACATCACCTCATGTTCACCTCCCTTCGGGGCTCAACCTCCTCGCTGGCACATCACTCAATGTCTAGCTCTTATGCCATTTGTAACGGCCCAAGCTCGCCGCTAGCAGATATTGTCCTCTCTAGGCTTTCCCTTAAGGTTTTTAAAACGCGTTTGCTAGGGAGAGGTTTCCACACCCTTATGAAAGGTATATCGTTCTCCTCCCCAATCAATGTGGAATCTCACATTAAGAAGAATATATCATATTTAACTCCCGAATGATGGCATCATGTAACTAGAGTTGGCTCATGAATCATATCGCCCCAATCTTCAAAATCGAACTCTCCTACCTAATGGGTCGAAAATTAACCAACGTCGATCAAAACCTAGTATCGACTTCATTAAGAATGGCTTTCCGAGTAACATTTTCCGTGGCACAAAGAATTGACGATTGGCAAAGTAATTTGTGGGTTTAATTTCGAACGATGAGTAATTCTCTGGCTTACAAAGAAACTAAATTCAATCAAGTCAGCAGAAAATTAAATCAATAAAGAGACAGTAGAAAGATAAACAAGATGAAAAGCATAAGCAAGCGAGAGGCGGTGATAGAACCTGAAGGAGGAGCATTGGGAAGTGACAAAAACCCACAGGAAGCTAGCGATGCGAGTGCATGTAGATGGGTATGAGATTGATCAACAAAGCGAGCCAACCCATCACCGAAAATAACTAGAGCTCGACTGGGTTTATCCGCCATTTCTGCGAGACGGCCGATTGGAAAGGGCTCGGAAGCGAAGCTTAGAGAGCGCGCGGAGGCGGTAACTGGAAAATTGGAATTGGAACTGGAATGCGAAGACAAATAAAGCGTATAAATAGATTCCCTAAATTCTACGCTGTCCAAATGGACGGCAACCATAGCGGCCCCTTTTTTTTTTTTTTTTTTTTTTTTTTTTTTTTTTTTTTTTTTTTTCC